GGGCGCGGAGCGTCTGTACGGGCGGGCGGCTCACCGGCCAGCCGAGGGGGTCGGCGCCGCCGTGCTCAGCCGTGTCCCTGCCTCTTTCCCATCGTCACGGAAAGGCTTGGCGTTTTTCTGATCAATCGAACGCTCAGAATTGGGTGGTCTACGCATCCACGGGTAACACACAGGGAAGTGCCACCGATTCTCGGAAATGCTGTGGAAAATCAGCAAAACACAAAGTGCTCCCAGGAGCCAAAACCTTTGTGGTGACAAGACAGCACAGGGTACGGAGACGGCACAGCGCAGCACCAGGGGCTGCAGCATCCTCCTAGGACACTATTGCCAACAAGAGCGGCTTTTGGGAGAGAAAAGCCTTCAGTTTGTGCACCAGGAGGGGGAACAGGAGGTACCCTGAACCCAAAATGCTGCGGTCCAGGAGTGGCCACAAATGCCTTTCTTCAGTCTCCTTTTACAATTTTTCCACCTCTTTGAGGCTGGTAAAGCCTCCCTTTACTTCAGTGGTTGCTTTTCCCCATCCCCGGCTTTTCCATTTCTTGCCTTAATGCTTTGGTCTGTTTCAGGGAGTTTTAAATCGCGCAGTAGTGACTGCCCTTTTTCTCGCGGATTCAAGGCAGCCCTAAGTGAACTACGCTGACTGTTGCCTGTACCCACACCAGGCAGCGTGGCCCAGCCGCTCCTCCACGGGTCTTTGTGCTGAAACATCGCCCTCCTCCAGAGCACACTGTGAAAAGGCAGGTCTGGGCTCAGGCCTCGAGGTGATGTCCGTGGGTTGGACCAACAGGGACGTGAGGCAGCACACCTCGGCAGGGACCAAGAGCAAGGGCTTCAGCACAGCACCTGCGGGGAAGCAGGGAGCCCCTGCCGAGGCTCCTGCCAGCGTTTGCGCCAAGTGAGCTCCATTCACAACAGCCCCAAGGTCAGGCATCTGCTTATCAGCCCTGGCCCCCAGCCAAGGCAGCCGGGGCCCCAGAGTGCAGGGGGATGTGCTCAGGGCCCCCGCTACTGCTCTCTGTTCTCTTTCACGCTTGGTATCGGGGACTCATCACGAAACGCCAGCTGTCACTACTAACAGGCCAGCATATAAAGCTGCGTCTCTGGTCTGGGTTCCCAGGTGACCGCAGGATCCGGGGGTTTTGCTTTGGGCCACTCTTGGCACCTGCCCCCACAACTGGGAACTAGAACAGTTCCTGGCTGTGGCGAGTTTTGGGGACTCGCCTGATTATCTTGCATGTTCAGGGACCTGCAGTTTTTGCAGTGTGTTGCAGCACTGATAGCAGGAGTCATGACAAGTGTCCTGAGAGAGATCAGAGCAGCCAGGAAATGGCTGACGGGACGAGCAGAGGCACGTGACCCGTGTTTGCTCTTGAGTAAATTGACGGTTACAGTCCATGCAGCCTCCTCACCCGCCTCTTGGGCACGGCGAGCCGTGGTGGTTTGAGAAAGAGGAATTTTTCTTCAGGGGTGACCTCTAGGGCAAGTGCCACAGAGGCATCTCTCTGCTGCCACTTCTGACGCTTGCTCAGGCTGGCACCTTCAACCCTCTGGCTGGACCTGGGGATTTCATCTGAAGTAGGGAGTTTACTTCTGGGGCCCTGCCCTTTTCGGACAAGAGCAGGTTAGGGCTTTCCCTTCCTTGATGAAGCGAGTTTTAAGGAAACCGAGTGAGTTGAACTTCTTTACTGGCTTGGAGCTGCGCCCTGTGCCCAGACACGCTCTGTGGAGCCAGCTAAAATTGGATCCAGAGGAGTGCCAGGAGCTCCTGAGGGACTAGATGGGCTCAAGGGACCCATTTTGAGATGTGTGACAAGGGACGGTTGTCCTATGAGGTCAGAAGATTGCTGTTTAACAGCAACAGCAGTGAGTAATCACAAAGGTTGCAAAACACGCTTTCCCGCCTGCTGATTACGTCTTCTCCCCACTCCTGGTACCAAACTCCCTCCCCTGGCCAGGGGGCTGGCACTTGGCTCCTAGCTTTTCCCCTGCCCCTTTCACAGCTCCTTGCCTGGCTGGATCGCTCTCCATGAGCGCTGAGCTCTCATTTCCCAGGTCTGGTCTGGCTGCCTGTGTCCTCAGTTTCATCCCGAACAAAGGTGGCCTCCAGAGGTAACAGGTGCGACGGGAACCCAAAGGGAGCCAGGCTGCCAGCCCTCGAAAGCAGGAAGGCTGCGAAGGACTGATAATTTAATAACCACATGCTCCTGAACAGGCTTCCACTCTGATGCCAGCGGTGCAAGGGACAAGGAGAGGGAGCTGGAGCTTCTGGTCATGGACGGGAGACACTGACTTACCGACATGTCTGAACTTGGAGAAAGGTGGGCCAGGCCTGGAAACCTACTGCCAGCGGGTGGGCAAGACAGAGGAGATGGGGAGGTGGTGCTGTAGGTTAACAAGAGCTGAGATTAATAACTGGGATAACAATCACTTCTGGGTGGAAGTGCATCGGCAGATACGAGTATCAACCCACGAGCTGGGTCTGAAGAACACGCAGACCTTACTCAAAATGCCCACGGCTGAAGAGCTGCTCTGTAACTGCGACCATAGAGAACTGCAACCCAGCAGCTCTGCAAGACTGAAAAACCCGTTCTGCTCAACAGCAACCACCCCACCCCACACCGCCCAACAACAAAACCCCCCAAAAAAGGGAACTGCAGAGGGGTGAGCAACCTTGTTAACAGAGCAGAGAATGAAATCCTCACAGGCAGCCCCGCAGCTGCAGCTGGGAACCTCCGCTCTGTTCAACCCCGTCACCCCTGCGTGGGCGGAGAACGGGCACCCAGGAGAGGAAGGAGGGGAGGGTGGGGCGGGTGCCACGGCCACGGCCAGGCTGGCCAGACACTTCACGCTGGGGTGTCTGTGGCTGCAGAGGGAGGACAAAGACCAGAGGTACGGAGCACTCCCGCGGCCTCAGGCCGGGTCAGTTTCTCCTTTGTTGCAGGAAAAGGAATCGGGAACATTGTCCAAAAAAGGAAAAAAAAGAAAAGGAAAAAAAAGTGACATTGGCAGTTTTTAGGACATAACTTGGGTGCAGCTAGGTGCTCACTTGTATGGATTGTCATCAGCAACTGGACTCCGGCTGAGCCTCTCAGCTCACCAGCAGCTGCTGTAAATACCAGCGCAAGCGTGGAGACGCACACTGCTACTCCGTATCATTTCTCACCCAGGAGAAGCACAACCTGCTCTCCAGCCTGGGTGCAGCACAACGGCCCATACCTTGAGCCCATCCCTTGTTGCAGCGCTTGAAGGCATCCCGCATGAAAACGGCATGGCAAACATGTTGCCATGCGCGACATCTCACACATGCTCCAGCGCAGCGCGTGGGGTGTACGACAGCGCAGACCAGCACACTGCATACCATCGCATGCTTCTACAGCAACACCGCCCTCGTCTCCTCCCTTCTTCCTACGCTCCCCTCCTACATAGCCTCCTCCTGCTCGTCTATTCCCATGCTCAAGACCGACAAACTCAACTCGACTGATGTACTCTCAGCTGGTTTGAGTATCAAAAGCAGCTCCCGGGAAGCTTTGCCACTCACCGCAGGTGCCAGGCAGGGCGAAGGATTCCGCCTCTGCTCTGCTGCAGCGTTCAGAAACTGCTGCGAGCAGCGGATGGGTTATCACTTGCTGGGAAACAAAAAAAAGTATTAAAGCACTTGCAACTGCTCAGCGAATCCTATCACAGCTGTATCAAAAATGGTATTTCTGATTCAGGCTGTCAGACGCTGGGCCAAAAACCCAGAGTGAGGAATACAGACACCAGGATACAGGGAGCTTAGAAAACTGCCTTTATTCTATTAGTTGTTGGAAAAATGAAAATACAGAAAGAGTTTAGTTGGCTGCAGAACAGCAAGAAGTTCACAGGTTAGGAGTCTGATCACTACATGGTAACCAAACTTACACAAAAAGTTTCATTTTTTTTTAGTTTTGAAACTGGGTCCAGCAATGAACTTAAGGCAACTGAACAGTTCAGAAGCTTTGAGTGTGAGCAGGCTGTCTTTTCTCATCCCTACGGCACGTCATGGAAAAAACTCCTCCTGGGTGTGCAGACCACTCAAATCATTCAAATGGGTCAGACTTACAAATGAACAGGGGAAGAGGATCAGCTGCTTTCCATCGGACTTTATTTTCAAATACAGTTTCTTAAAAAACCCAGAACACCTTAACGCAGAGGTTACAAGTAACAGTATTAGGAAATCCAATTATACAAAAAATACTACATCTAAGCTGGGGTAAATAGATTTATTTTTGGTAACATACATTTAAACTGGCACTAATTACACAGTAACTAAAAGGTAACTAACATGAAACCACAGAACCCTCACTTTTCCTTAGCTGAATGGGACTTGGTCATTTCAGAGTGATCACATTTTCAAACTAATGTTTTACACCACTGAGCCATGAAAATCGGATCTTCCTAAATGTGATAGCACTGAAGCTACACTTGA